TTCCCTCTACATGCTAATGCTTATCAGTTTACCTCTCTGACATGTTAACCCCTGTTACCTTGCCTGTGCCAAATCCCTGTGACTGCAATAACCTTCATCCCATCAAGCTGTTGACTCTTTATCATTAAAGATATCTTTCTAATGCCTTGGCTCCATCAAACAACAGACATTCGGGGAGTGGTGGGAGGTGGACAGACCAGTCTTTACAGAAAGAAGAAATCTGAATTAGATCAATGGCATTACACTGGGATTACATTTCATGGATAATTTTATGCTTTAGAGCCTTCTATAACACATACCCTTTGAAATACAACTCCAAAATGAATAAAGGTTCATTCATGAAGTAGTCATCATTGAATTTAGTGTTATTGCTTTAGCCAAGGGAAATTGAGAGGAGGTTTTGGGGTATCTTCATGGTCACACACATAAAGTACATTTGGGAAGAATAACCTGGTTCAGCACTGACGACAGGGAATAAGGACGTAGCTGCTGTAACGGAAAAGCGTCCTTCACCTCTCTCATAACAAAGTGGGATTTCAGACTGAAAAAGCATGGAAAGGACAGAGCACCAGGTCTTTGCTCTTTCCTCCAATCCAGGAAAATCCCATCATTAGCAGCAGTAGGAAGAAAGATGCCCTCTGAGGAGCTGCCAACACACATTCATTCGGCTGCCAGCTAGCCTACAGCACTGCCGAACAGCAGCATTACCCTCATCTCAAATGCTTTCTTCTGCTTTACACTTCTCCTTTGTAACTCATTCTTTAATATGAGATTTATCACTGATCCACCCCAAAATCCAGCCCTAGAGGGAACAAAGTCTGTTACACAACCTGAGCAACAGGGACTAACTCTACACCACCCTCGTAGTGAGAAGTGAAGGTCTCAGACAACCCAGAGGGGCTGCAAAATTGCTACTGCCACAATCCCAAATGCACAAATACCTGCTTTCAGACACAGCTTACACCCTGGCCCTGACTTCAGTAAGGTTATCCTGATCAGTACATGCCGTTCTTGCTGCTAAGCATTCCCATGTCGCCTGAACACAGGTAAACACGAATGCCTGCCATATTTGAGCTCAGCTGTTTGAACAAGCACAGAGAAGCATTCAAACTCCACTTGACTCAAGCAATCCACAGCGCTAACACTGCGGTTGTAGGTGTTCATAATTTAAGAACTCAGGTCAGCTGGTCAGAGAAAGCCAAACTCACTACACCGGTGCAAGGACGGTCAGTGCCAAATCAGGCAAGACACTCCAAAGCCTACTGCTGCCCAGCCTTACTGCTGGTCAGCTCTTCAAGTCCCCGTGCAGGGCGTTCTGTGAGCTTTTGCCTGGCGCCCGAGCTGACACACTCTTCATCAAAAAACATCAGGCTGATTTAGTGAGCTGAGGTCTCCAGCCTTGGAAAAATTTTCCAATTGTGTCAAATAACTCTTTCTAACTGGGGTGGCAGCAAAGTCACAAAGAGAGGGGGCCTCGTTCCAAAAATGTGCAAAGTAAAAGCTTGCAAACTGATTGCATATCACACTTTGTCCTTCAGAGCAAACTTCTTCCTCTTGCTTGATATTTGAGCTGTGCCTAGGGTAACTGGTTTTGCCCCAGTAAGAAAAGACAACCAACCACCACCATCCAGCAAGCCATGAATCAGGTCGCCGCTAGACTCAACACTGGCAGCCCCGTGCACCCTTCTGCCAGGCAGCAGCTTGAGCCCTTTTCACCACAGCAGTTCACAAGGGAAGAGATGAATGTGATTTTTTTCTCTTCCCCGCTCCTATAGCCTCTGTATGACAGACCCATGGGAAGCAAGACAGAGGGACATCCTCTGGATTACAAATCCAATTACAGTTGTCCTAACTGCTTCTTGTAGCTTTAAAGATGTTCTTAAACCAGCAGAATGGTTCACCAAATGGGGCTGAGATGATGCTGTGGACACAGAGTAACAGATGGTCTTCACAGATTCTCAATTAATAAAACAAAACCCAAATGGCTACAAATACAGCTTTGGAAACATTTACTAGCTTGCTCCAGAGAAAAAGCCAACTACAAAGTCCAAACTGACATTCATAGAATTTAGACTTAAATGAAAAAAATAATGTTTTTGTGTTTAGTGTCTTGTTTTCTTCTGTGAAAGCCCATGAGACTGATAAAGATTACTGGAAAAATGGAGCCTTTGATGATTATTTCCACTAAGAAAGGAAGTAATTTCCATTCTTTCTCACAACATTCTTATACAAGAAGATATTTCATTTCCTCCAGGGACAACAACCTCACTAAAGAAAACAGAGGCCTGC